AAAAAAAAGTCATGTTGTTAAAGTACATTTATCATGATAAAATATTCTGAAAATAAAGGTTACCAAACTGTACATAGAATATGAGTCCATTTTTTATATTTCTTTAAGCCCGAGTGTGCATCTACGATTTGAGGGGCTTCACTTGACCAGTCCCGGTGGAAAGCCGCCTTTAGTCTCCGCGCTCCAGTTACACTTTCTCTCGAGCTTGCCAGGGCAGCCACATGGGCCAAGGGCAACCTTGATGGCAGTGGGCCCGAGTCACAGCAGCAGCACAGCGTGTGTGTCAATAACAGGCTTTCCAAATTGTGACGGTCCCTTGCTCATCTCTTCCATTCAGTCCATAAAAAAAAAAAAAAAAAAAAAAAAGAGTCCAGAGCGATCCCAGAACTTTGGGAGGCTGAGGCAGGAGGATACCTTGAGGTCAGGAATCTGGGACCAGCCTGGCCAACATAGCAAAACCCTGTCTCTACTGAAAATACAAAAATTAGCCAGGCATGGTGGCAGTCACCTGTAATCCCAAGTACTCAGGAGGCTGAGGCAGGAGGATTGCTTGACTTAGCCCCTGCAATCCCCCCAGTAGCTGATATTACAGGCATCCACCACCACACCCAGCTAATTTTTGTATTTTAGTAGAGATGGAGTTTCACCATACTGGTCAGGCTGGCCTCGAACTCCTGTCCTCAGGTGATCCACCCACCTCAGCCTCACCAAATGCTGGGATTATGAGCATGAGCCACGCACCTGGCTCAAACATAACATTATAAAGAGAAATTGAGGGCTATAGAAGCCACTGGTTTTCAAGAGTAAAATAGGGCAAACTGTTTGAAACTAAAACTAATAAACTAAAATTCCCAAACCCCCACTAGATTCCACCTCCTGACTCTAGTAGTCTACTGTCTGCTTCTACAAGTTTGACTTTTTTTAGATTCCACATACAAGTGAACTCACACAGCATATTTATCTTTAGTAGAGATGAAGGGTTCACCATGTTGGCCAGGCTGGTCTCTCTGGCCTCAAGTGATCCGCCCACCTTGGCCTCTCAAAGGGCTAGGATTACAGGCATGAGCCACCATTCCCGGCCAGGATTTCCTTCTTTTTTATTGATCCATTCAGTCTGGGCACAGTGGCTCACACCTGTAGTCCCAGCACTTTGGAAGGCTGAGGTGGGCAGATCACCTGAGGTCAGGAGTTTGAGACCAGCCCGGACAACATGGTGAAACCCTGACTATTAAAAACACAAAAAATGGTGACGGCCATGATGGTACACACCTGTAATCCCAGCTACTTGGGAGGCTGACGCAGGAGAATCACTTGAACCCGGGAGGCAGAGGTTGCAGTGAGACAAGATTGCACCATTGCATTCCAGCCTGGGTGACAGAGCAAGACTCTATCACAAAAAATAAATAAATTTGACCCAGGAGGTGGAGATTGCAGTGAGATGAGATCTGCCACTGTGCTCCAGCCTGAGCAACAGAGTAAGACTCCATCTAAAACAAACAAACAAACAAAGTCCAGTGCAGTGGGTCACACGTGTAATCCCAGCACTTTGGGAGGCCGAGGTGTGCAGGTCAGATGCTTGAGACCAGCCTGACCAAGATGGTGAAACCCCGTCTCTACTAAAAATACAAAAATTAGCCAGGCGTGGTGGTTCACGCCTGTCGTCCCAGCTATTCCGGAGGCTGAGGAAAGAGAATCTGTTGAACCCAGAAGGCAGAGGCTGCAGTGAGCCAAGATCACTCCACTGCAGTCCAGCCTGAGCAACAGAGCTAGACTCCATCTCAGAAAAAATTGATCCATTCTTCTGTTGCTGGATACCTACGTCATTTCCTGACCTTAGCTATTGTAAATAATGCTGCAATAAACATGGGAGTGCAGGTATCTCTTCAAGACATGAATTTCATTTCCTTTGGGTATATACCCAGAAGTGTGATAACTGGTTCACATGGAAGTTCCATTTTTAATTTTTTGAGGACCCTCCACACTGATTTCCAAAAAAAATAACATTTTCCATTACTTTTGTCTAATATTATCTTAACCATTTGTTTCCTTAGTTCCAGTCACATCAGCCATTTTCACATACCTGCTGGGACATATTTTGCTTTTCTCTATAATGAAATTCCCTCATTTATGATCAAGGTAGTTAACTTGTTTTCACCAGTTCCTCAAATACTTAAAGGATAAGCCTAAGAAAAAGAGGTTCCAGATTTTTTATGGAAAAAAAATCACACTTGTACAAAAATTACAATGGTACTTCTCAATGAAATTCCTTCATTGAATTTCCAGTCGTCTTTGAGCATTAGTAAAACATGAATGCCGACTACAGTGGTGGCTGAGCGCCTCCAAGGAGCGGGACAATTGCACTTTTGTCTATTTATTGTAGATAGCCATACCAATAAGTTAAAGCTCTAGGTTATGAAGTCTCAGGTTACAGCTAGCACAACAAGAATGCAGGTTTTCAGATTTTCTGCTGAAAATTCTACTAATAGAGTATCTACAGACAATGGATCACATTAAAAAATAACCGAATGGGAAAACATCCACATTTGAACATTTAAAATAACTGTTAAAATGGCAGTAAAAAACTCAGTATGGCGCCGGGCGCGGTGGCTCAAGCCTGTAATCCCAGCACTTTGGGAGGCCGAGGCGGGTGGATCACGAGGTCGAGAGATCGAGACCATCCTGGTCAACATGGTGAAACCCCGTCTCTACTAAAAGTGCAAAAAATTAGCTGGGCATGGTGGCACGTACCTGTAATCCCAGCTACTCAGGAGGCTGAGGCAGGAGAATTGCCTGAACCCAGGGGGCGGAGGTTGCGGTGAGCCGAGATCGTGCCATTGCACTCCAGCCTGGGTAACAAAAGCGAAACTCCGTCTCAAAAAAAAAAAAAAAAAAAAAAAACAAACAAAAAAAAAACTCAAGTATGTATCATGAGCCAAAGAAACCCATTTACTAGGTACGTTCCAGTTATCACCAAATAAGACAATGCTATTATTTGATGAAAGTTTCAAACATAATTTCCTACCAAGGAACAGAAGACAAAGCCTCAAGAAAGAGCCCTGATTGGCCAGGCGCGGTGGCTCACGCCTGTAATCCCAGCAGTTTGGGAGACCGAAGTGGCAGATCACCTGAGGTCGAGAGTTCAAGACCAGCCTGACCAACATGGAGAAACCCCCGTCTCTATTAAAAGTACAAAATTAGCCAGACGTGGTGGCTCATGCCTATAATCCCAGCTACTCGGGAGGCTGAGGCAGGAGAACGGCTTCAACCCAGGAGGCAGAGGTTGTGATGAGCCAGGATCACTCCATTGCACCCCAGCCTGAACAACAAGAGCGAAACTCCATCTCACAAAAAAAAAAAAAAAAAAGAAAGAAAGAAAAAAAAAAAGTCCTGATTGGAGGGGGTCAGAGCTCTGTCCCTCACCAGTTCAGTGTGTTTAAACAAATAACCCTTTCGGCTCAGAGCTTCAGGTGGAAAGTAATATGGGACTATTTCGCTCTTCCTTCTGCCCTGTGTGAAAATTCATCTCAGTGATTTCCATGCAGTCAGCCCGGCTTCCTGCCCAGCCGGCGGTGAGCTCACCCCGGGCCTGCGCTCTCTCCCGGTGCAGCCCAGCTGCCCACTGAGGTTTTCCACCGCACTTGATGATGAACACATGCTCGGTGTTCAGAAGACCCGGGGGATCTCGTCCAACTGAAGGCTTCATCATGCTGGCCAGGCTGGTCTCGAACTTCTGGCTTCAAGGGATCCGCCCGCCTTGGCCTCTCAAAGGGCTACGATTCCAGGCAGGAGCCACCATTCCCGGCCAGGATTTCCTTCCGAGGACTTTATCCGACAGAAAGGAGACGAGGTTTCGGGGCCGGGAACACGCTCGCGCCCAGCGTAGCTGCGCAGCCTGGCGTTTTCGCCTCACTTTCCAAGTGAAGCCATATTTCTGGTGCTTTCCAGAAACAGAGGTAGATGCTTCTGCTGGACCGGGAAGGCAGGAGCTGAAGTATCACCAAAGGACGTTTCAGGCTACGAGAAATTCTAATTCTAACGCCACGTGTCCGGCTGACGAGCAGCACTTCTGCCCAGGCGCACGCCAGTTAAACTCGGAAACGTTACCACATCCTCAGAGAACGAGTTACCATTTGTTCGGTTTGTGTAGAAAGAGAAACTGGCCACGTAAAAACCAGCGTTCGCGTGCACTTTACAAGGAAGAGGGGCACCAGGCAGAGGAGCTCCTGGGGTTTCCGTCTCGTCTGGTCTCCAGGCCAGGTGGCCATCTCCGCGCAGGCGGGGACCACGCCCTTTAGGACTCCGGCTCCTCCCTGCCGACAGGGGGCGCCCGCAGCCGTGACTTTCCCGCCAACTCCACCAGTGCTCCAGCCCGGCCTCGTGCGACCGACTCTAGGGCTCGGGGCTCTTCCTGTTCCGGGGCGTGTGGAACCCGGATGCAGGCGCGCTATATAAGCGTTGCTCAGCTCCCCCGCCTTCCTCTTTGAGGAAGCCGGGGTCGTAGCCGCTGTGGATCCGTAGTCCGCGAGCTCCTGCTCCTGACTCACCGCTGTTCGCTCTTGCCGAGGAACAAGTCGGTCAGGAAGCCGCGCAGCAGCCATGGTGAGGCGGCGGGCGGCGGCGGGACTGCGGCTCCGAGCTCTTGCTCCTGTGGGGCACGTGCCGGGGCGTGTGGGCGCGGAAGGACGCTCCTGAAATGGTGGGGGGAACCCGGGACGCTCCGGAGGCGGCAGACCACGCCGCGCTGACTGTTCCTTCTCATGTGTTTTTTTAACAATAGGCTTTTAAGGATACCGGAAAAACACCCGTGGAGCCGGAGGTGGCGATTCACCGGATTCGAATCACTCTAACCAGCCGCAACGTGAAGTCGCTGGAGAAGGGTCAGTGCGGTCCTCGCGCGGGGCGGGGCGCGAACCGGGCACGAAGCCGCGGGCTTCGCCCGTGAATGTGAACGTGCAGGGTGGGCTCGAGCGGCGAGTCGCTCGCTTTCACTGTCGTGCCGCCGGCGGTGAGGACAGACCTACTGTGCTGAGTTACCGTGATGCTTCTATACGCTATTCTGAGCCGGCCACAGCGGGGGTCGTAGGCCGGTCTCATGGTTCTCGTTGAACTGAGAGGTCTTTGTTTTCCTGTAGTGTGTGCTGACTTGATCAGAGGAGCAAAGGAGAAGAATCTGAAAGTGAAAGGACCGGTTCGAATGCCGACGAAGGTACCTCCGAGGGGCGGGAAGTGGGAGTTGCTTCCGCAGGTGGCTTCCATTCGGGTTCTTCCCTTGGAGGGGTTTGGCTGCCAAAGCGGTTAACGCTGATACTACAAACCCACGTAGAAATTTCGGTAGATTTCGGTTCTTAGTAAGTAGTGTTTAGATGTGGTTATTCCATTATTGCTGCTGTGTTCTTGGTGTGGTTTGGTGCTTACCAGGCACAAACTCCGAGGGTGGTGTCCTAGCGCGATGAAAACAGACCTGGCATTTTCAACCCATGGCATCTGAAAATTTGTTTTTTTGATTTGTTTTGAGACGGAGTTTTCCTCTTGTTACCCAGGCTGGAGTGCAATGGCGCGATCTCGGCTCACCGCAACCTCAGCCTCCTGAGTAGCTGGGATTACAGGCACGCGCCACCATGCCCAGCTAATTTTTTATATTTTTAGTAGAGACGGGGTTTCACCATGTTGACCAGGATGGTCTCGATCTCTCGACCTCGTGATCCACCCGCCTCGGCCTCCCAGAGTGCTGGGATTACAGGCTTGAGCCACCGCGCCAGGCGGCATCTGAAAATTTATTAAAACATAAACATTTGGTTTCTTTTGTGTTTTGTTACAGACTTTGAGAATCACTACAAGAAAAACACCTTGTGGTGAAGGTTCTAAAACATGGGATCGTTTCCAGATGAGAATCCACAAGCGACTCATTGACCTCCACAGTCCTTCTGAGATTGTTAAGCAGATTACTTCCATCAGTATTGAGCCAGGAGTTGAGGTGGAAGTCACCATTGCAGATGCTTAAGTCAGTTATTTTAATAAATTGATTACCAGTTGTTAACTTTTGTTGGCTTTTATTCAGAATACTGGCCGATTTGGGGGATACAAAAGTGTGCTATGAGGCTTTCACTTTTCAGGTGGAATATATGGCTTATCTTACAGCGGTCTGTCCTGTTTGTAGTTTGAGTCATTTGAAAACTTGACTAAATATGTGAGACCTGACCAGTTTTATTGGACACTGGCAGTTTATAACTTTGACATACCCTAGAAATTCTGATTGGCCCAGGGCGTTTGTAATACACAGCCGTGATTGAAAACCTAGTACACTAGAGGGCAAGTGCTGAAAACTAGTAACTGATATTTTGAAATTTACTTAATGTCTTTAAGGAGGAATATAAGGCTGAGTAACTTTTAACTCCATGAAAAAAAGAAAATAATTGGCAGAGGCAGGAGTAAAACTTAAGTTTTAGGGTTTTGGGAACTAAAACATATTCTTAAAATACTTTTCATGGTTTTATTTTAAGTGTAAATATACTTTTATATATATATACTTTAACTTTTTTTTTTTTTTTTTTTTTTTCCCCTGGATATCTATGTAGCCCAGGCTGGAGTGCAGTGGCACAATCTCAGCTCACTGCAACCTTCCTCTCCCAGACTCAAGCAATTCTAGTCTCCCGAGTAGTTGGCAACAGTGTTTCACCCTGTTGGTCAGGCTTGGTCTTGAACTTCTAACTTGAGGTGATCTGCCTGCTTTGGCCTCCCAAAGTGCTGGGATTACAGGCATGAGCCACTGTGCCTGGCACATTTTCACTTTATATTTTACTAAAATACTTTTATTTTCAGTTTTAGAGACAGGATCTCACTGGTCCAGGCTGTGGTAACTGGATCAGTGGTATGATCACTGCAGCCTTGACCTCCTGGGCTCATAAAGATTCTCCTACCTTAAACTGCCCAGTGAACTGGGACTTAACAGGCACGTGGCTCAGCTAATTGTTTTTTGTAGAGGTGGGGGTTGTGCCATGCCCAGGCTGATCTTGAACTCCTAGACTCAAGCCATCAACCTATAGTAGCCTCCCAAAATGCTGGTGTTACAGGAGTGAGCCACTGCACCTAGATTGGAGTTTATAATCAGAGATATCCTTACACGTTTAGATACTTTTTAACAGGGTCAAAGTTGGGTGATCCATGTCTGGATTTGGGCCTAGGCTTTCACTCTGAACTCTATCTTTTCAAGTTGACCTTAAATTGAGATTTCTGTATACAACCAACTGCATACTAGACACCTGCAACTCAGCTGAAAAGCTAACATGTCTAAAATGAAATCTTCACTCCCAGAACGTCTCCTGTGTTCTGTATCTCAATCCGTTATCCACTGAAGTTGCACGGTTTGAATATTGGAATCACCCGTTACCCCTCCCCTACTGCTGTTACAATTCCTTTTGAGTCTACTTAGATCTCAAGACAAATCCATCAGGATTTGAATGGAACTGAGTCTGGAATGAACTATGCCACATTGCTAAACTTAAACAATTTGTCTTTGGGAGTTTAGGTAGCAGTTATTTATGTATTTATTTTTTTGAGATGGAGTCTCACTGTCACCCAGACTGGAGTGCAGTGGCTGCAATCTTGGCTCACTACAACCTCCACTTCTCAGGTTCAAGCAGTTCTGCCTCAGCCTCCCAAGTAGTGGGGACTACAGGCACGTGCCACCATGCCCAGCTGGTTTTTTATTTCCGGAGAGACAGTTTCACCATGTTAACCAGGATGGTCTTGTGATCTCACCTTGGCCTCCCAAAGTGCTGGGATTACAGTCATGAGCCATGGCACCCAGTAATAAGACCATTTTAAAGTTGAGTACCTATTTAATATGTGGCCCCCAGATAGAAATACCTATGAGCTTTCTGGGCTTGGTGGCTCATGTCTGTAATCCCAGCACCTTGGGAGGCTGAAGTGGGTGGATCACCTGAGGTTGGGGAGTTTGAGACCAGCCTGACCAACATGGAGAAACCCTGTCTCTACTAAAGATAACAAAAAAAAAAAAATAGTTCAGTGTGATGGTGCATACCTGTAATCCCAGCTACTTGGGAGGCTGAGGCAGGAGGATCACTTGAACCTGGGAAGCAGAGGTTGCGGTTAGCCGAAATCGCACCATTGCACTCTAGCCTGGGCAACAAGTATGAAACTCCATCTCAAAAGAAAAAAAAAAAAATACCTATGAACTTTTAATAATGCAGCATAGCTGTCTTTGGAGCACATGTGTCTTGAGAACTGATTGACGAAATAATTCGGAAAACAATGCCACTAAAGTCCAAAGAACATACATTGTGAAAAGTATGCTTCAGTAAATCAGAAAACAGTGAAAAGACAACTTCATGGCTTTCAAGAAATTGTGAATTTGAGCAGCTGTGTTTTTTCACAAAGGTCTAAGTGTTGGCTTAAAGCTATACGTAATTGAGAATCTGTATTACAGCTAAAATAGCACTTAAAAAATTTAAACTGCTAATCTTCAATTCCTCAAACATTTAAAAATACCTACATGGAAATAAAATTGCAGGGCATTTGAATATAGGGAATTAAGGATAGAATGGTGGTAATGATGCCAATAATTCTATGAAAGTGATAGGCCATCTTGTATGAGTGGAGAGTTTAAATTGGAAATAGGACTTCTCTCCAGTGCTTACTCTATTTGGTTTTACAGAGTACTGCTTCTGGTGTAGAAATGTGAGCTAGCAATATGCAAGGGAACAGAAACCACCATGGCTGTTCATTGCTAAGTCAGATTTTTCTTTTTTTTTTAATTGAGATGGTCTTTGTTGCCCAAGTTGGAGTTCAGTGGTGCGATCATGGCTCACTGCAGCCTCAAACTCCCTGGCTAACCGATCCCCCTGCCTCAACCTCTCAAGTAGCTGGGACTACAGGCTTGTACCATGACGCCTGGCCTGGCTAATTTTTTTGTGTGGAGATAGGGTCTCACCATGTTGCCAGGCTGATCTCGAACTCCCATAATCAGGCGATCCACCCTCCTTGGCCTCCCAAAGTGCTAGGGTTATAGGCGAGAGCCACTATGCCTGGACTGGATTAGACTTATTCACATGACATTCATAGAGTGCCTGTGTGTATGCTCCGTGGATGTAAAAAACAGGCAAGAGTGTAGAAGTAGACTCTCTAGCCATGCAGTCAGACAGATGGCTCCAAAATTAGCTACTTGGTTATGGGGACTTGATCAAGTTACTTGACTTAGAGCCTCAGTTATGTGCCAAATGAGGATGCTGATAGTATCTATCTCAAATACGTCTATGAGTGTTCCCTGTCTCTGGGAGATATTTTCCAAACAAACCAAGACTACTTTGCTAAGGGCATAGATTTCTCTCACTGGCACAGGATGTGCTCTAGCTGGCCTATGATACTGGATTGAATTACAGTGTTTTCTTGGTATCTGGTGAGGGATCAGTTCAGTACCTTTCTTGGATACCAAAATTGAGGAAACTCAAGTTCCTGATATAAACCGGCATAGTATTTGTATCCATCTATGGACATCCTCCTGTATATGTCGTCATCTCTAGAATACTTGTAATACTTAATACAATGCAAATGGTATGTAAGTGCTTGTTAGGCTGTAATTAGGGAATTATGACAAGAAAAAGAATGTCTATACATGTGCAGTAGAGACAGTTTTTTTCCTGAATATTTTTGATCTACAGTTGATCGACTCTACAGATACAGAACCTATGGGTACGGAGGGCCAGCAGTACACTTTGAGAAGTGTATTTCAATCCCCGGGTACATGTCCTTTTTAACTGCATCCTCCTCCACCAAAAAAATGACTGAGCAGGTGTAAGTGGAGAAACTGGCAAAGCTGAAGTGTTTTCCTTTTTTTGTTTTCATTGTGCTTCAGTAGATGTAAATGGAATTTTATCTTAAGCTGTGGCCAAGCATGGTGGCTCACGCCTGTAATCTCAGCAATTTGGGAGGCCAAAGGGAACAGGTCACCTGAGGTCAGGAGTTTGAGACCAGCCTGGCCAACATGGTGAAACCCTGTCTCTACTAAAAATAGAAAAATTAGCCAGTCATGGAGATGGGCGCCTGTCATC